CTCCAGCAGCTGCAGTCATTTGGGGTATGAAGCAGCAGATAGAAAATCTTGTCTCTCCTCTCTGTAAATCTGCCTTTCCAATATAAATACATACACAGTGACATACAATGTTGCGATTCGTGATACCCGAAAACAAAGGCCTCAGGAGCAATTACAGAGGCAAGATGTCACTCTGATCTTCTCCTGCTCTAAGCTCTTGTCCCTCATTCATCCCTAGGCAAGTCATAGAAAGCAGAATTTTCCCCCAAGGCTGTTCATAGAAACCAGACCCTTTTACCCTAAAGCTAGCCATAAAAGCTAGAATTCTTACTCTCACCTTCCCCTTCCTGTCTAGGAACTATGATGAAATTCTCTCACCTATGCTGGTTGACTGCAGGTCATAAGATCTCTGTTCCAGAATCTGTCCTGCCCCATTTGCAGGAGCAGGAGCTGGTGCAACTAGGGAACCAAGAAGAATCTGGACCCACAGGCCTAGCTGGGTCACCCCACTCAGTCTGCTTGCATCAGCTCGTACCCCTTGTGTGCAATCCCATTTCTACACTGTGGCCCATGAATCTAAGCAAAAAAAAAAAAAAATTTGATACTCATACTGGGTCAAAGAATCTTCATTCTGAAGCCTCCCCTGTCACACAAATAAATGATCTGATATGTCTTTTCTCCTGTTCGTTTGTGTATTATTAGCTAACTTCAACAGACTCAAATATTGACACTTCAGCAAAGTTTGAACATGGCTATAGCATGTATTTATTTATATGTATGTAAGCATAGAAAAAAAAGGCAGGACTTTTATATAACAAAATGTTGATATTTAGTGAATATCTTTAAGAGAGTTTTGTGGGTTTCTTTTTCCTGATCCAAAGTTTTCAATTGAAGATTTGTCACTTTTAAATGGAACAGTAAATACTTAATATCAATAAATGAACATTGGGTAATAAATATATGAAACATCAATATTTAGAATCTGGAAATTATGTAAGTGAAAAGGACAAATAAATACGAAGAATGAAATTAAATTTATGGTTAATAACTCTACTAAAAATAAGAAATGCTTATAGTATGCCTCAAATGTGTGACCTTGTTATCACAAATGGAGTAATCCATTCACAAAAATCTATGCACAGTGCATTGGAGAGAACAGGACTGAGAAAAGAAAGGGACACAGAAATTTTGGTCATTGGTAAATAATGAAAAAAAGGCTAAACAGGTGTCACTCTGACACAACAGCACATTCCTGATATCCTCACGTTTTTAATCATTGTACCAATCAATTCTGAAAAATCAATTTCTGATATTGATTATACACCGGGCTGTGAAATAGTTAAATACCAGAGAAAGTGTTTGACAATTAAAGGTGTTTTACTTTCTACTCACTTGTAGCAAACAGTTCTAGAGATGTGCAGTTTATCCTTGCATTTTTTTTTCAAAGATTTATTCAGTTTTATTACAAAGTCAGATATACAGAGAGAAGGAGAGACAGATATTCCACAACAGCCGGTGCTGTGCTGATCCGAAGCCAAGAACCAGGGACTGCCTCCAGGTCTCCCACATGCAGCGGGGTCCCAAGGCTTTGGGCCGTCCTCAACTGTTTTCCCAGGCCACAAGCAGGGAGCTGGATGGGAAGTGGAGCTGCCAGGATTAGAACCAGTGCCCATATGGGATACCAGAGATCAAGGCGAGGACTTAAACCACTAGGCCACACTGCCGGGCCCCTACCCTTGCATTTTTAACATTCAAATAACATCAAAACCTTTTGTTCTTTTGCTTATCATTTTATTCAAAACACACCCTGGTTATCAGTGACCCATCCTTGAGTAAACACTGTGACTTAAAAAAAAATACACACAGTTTTTCAATTCAGCTTGACTTTCCTTTGAACAACTTTTCCCTTTTTTCCTCCTTTATTTTGGTTAGGTCGTTGGGGGTCAAGTCCTAAGATCTGTATAAACTTAGACATCAGTAACTTGTGTGAAAGCACTCTGTAAACTGCACAGCAGCAGAAAGCGATTACAGAATTCAACGATCTCCAAACTTTCCTTTAGGTCCATAATTTTCATCCTACATTTTTAATTGTATTTTTAAAGTGCATTTATAGGCTGTAGGAATCATGAATGGGACATTGGTACATTTTAACAGCTCGCATTATACCAAAACTGTTGCTTTTTCATAACTACAGATGCTTTGTAACTTTCAAGCGGAAGCGCCAAAAAGAGATCATTTTTAAATCACTTAGGTTGAAACTTACAACAAATTATTTCAAGAAGACTGTATCACAATCAATACCTAAAAATCTAACTTTATATATTTAAAAAATTTTGTCATTTTTTAATTTAATACATTTAAATCCAAGGATAAATCTAACTGAAACCACATTTGAAAAGGCTGTGAGTCCTCATCTAACGGTTCAGTATATCTTGCCAGACGATTCAGCACTGGAGCATTAACTACAGCAGACAGCAAGAAAACGAGGGCACACTCTAAATATGTATAACTGGGATATTTCGAAAAGTTCAGGTTCATGTACAGTATTACAAAAACTATGCCAGGACTTCAGAATCTTTTTGTGCCAAATTAAACTTATTTCGTAATTCTATCTTTCTGTGAACTCTTTAAAATACTTGAACAAAATCAATTTATGAGTTTATAAAGGCTTAAAAAAAAAACAAAGAAGGGAGGTCAACTTTTTGACAAATAAGGATATTTAAAAAACAAAAAACAAACAAACAAAAAAACCAACCTCCAGGAGTGTGGCAGCGGCAAAACAGGTTAAGCTATCACCTATGTAAATATTGCTGGCATTCCATATGGGAGCATTGTCCATGGCCTGTCTATTGGACCCTGCCCTGTCTTACTCTCTGTTACTGTCCCTGGCAAAGCAGTAGTGATGGTCCAAATACTTTGGACCCTGCCACCCACGTGAGAAAACTAGACTGAATTCTGGGCTCCTGGCTTTGGCCTGGATCATCCCTGGCTCTTGTGGGCATTTGGAAAGTGAAGCAGCAGATGGAAGAACTTTTTGTCACTCAACCTTCCAAAGTCATCAATTCCCAAAATAATGATTTAAAAATTAAAAAACAACAACAACAACTCATGGCAAGTGCTTGGAAGAGCGGTTAAGAAGCCACTTGGGATGTCTATATCCCCGAGTCCAAGGGCCCAGGTTGGAGTCCTGCCCTACCTTCTGATCCCAGCTCCCCACTGATGCACACCTAGGAAGGCAGCAGGTGCATGTATTTTGGACCATCTTCCACTGCCTCAAGGCACATTAGCTAGGACTTGATCAAGCACTAGCACCTATAAAAGGGCATTTTAATGAAAATTACTAGTATCATGTAAACCCACCTTCCAACAAATTGAGCATGTGTATCCACTACACCTAAACAAATATCAAACCTTTAAACCTATACTTCCTCTCTATCTCCCTGAGGAACTCCTCAAGTTGAAGAACCCATTGCACAAATGCTGGATCGCTGTGTCGATAGTATTTCTTGAAAACTTCCAGATGCTTTAAAACAATCTTTAAGGCCAGCATCTAAGAGCACAAGGTATTAAACTAGTTACAGCATGCTTCTGAGTCATCAGAAGAGAACATCTTAACAGCTGACTTGGAAATCAGGCACTCCGGGTTTTGGTACTGCCTCAAAGCTTCATGTTAAACCTTAGGGAAAAGTCTCTTCCCCTTGGCTTAACCAAAATAACAAAATGAGCGCTAATTACTACCTTATCAGTTTTCAGAGATGTAATTGTAACTTTTTTGTCTCAAAGTTTCCATTTCTGCATTAGGGAATTTACTTGAGGTGGTTCCATTAAAGTTTTATTTATTTATTTTTTTAATGGGCTGGACGTTAGGCAGAGGCCAAACATCTGCTGTGTGGGATCCCCGTGTGCTGAACGGAGGGCCTGGGTTCCACTTCTCACTCAGTTCTGATTCACCTCCTTGCTAACGTGCACCCCGCAAGGGAGCAGCTGATGGCTCAGGAACTTTGATACCTACCACTCCCTCGGGAGTATCTGCTCCGCCTGGCTGTGGCTGGCATGTAGGGCGGAGATCAGCACGGCGGAAGATCTCATGTCCTTGTCCTTTCAAATACGTTATCAGTAAATTTAAAAACACGCCTCTCAACCATGGAGTTCTCTTGTGAGGGTCACTAACGCTTAACCTTCCCAATTCAGAATTGTAAACCCAGAAGTGGTTAAGACTTGATTGACTGTTTAGAGTTTAAACAAACAAACAAAAAACCCCAAAACGTTGTAAAGTTTTCAATGTTGTCAGTCTGAGTCTGTAAACTTAATTCTACTCTTCACCTTTTTTTTTCACCATTACTACAATAGATAGGCTTCGTCTTTTTTTTTCCCCCCTTTTTGGTGGGGGGCGGCTCTACTAAGTTGTAGTACGTGCTATGTTTTACTTACACTGTTGTCAACCCTTATTTCTGTTGATTTCAATTATCACTAACATTCTGAAGCAGGTCTTATTCTCGAAGATCCAACAAATGTGTCAGTAGGGGCAACAGGACAAAAACGGTGAGGAAGATTTTTCCTCCTTTCCCCTTCCTGTGAAAACAGGATCTCTAAGACTCAACCAAGCGCAGAATTCCAATTATTAAGAGAATCCGGCAAGGCTCTGCTGAACCAGAAGCCCTGAACGTGTCCCGCAAACCCGACCGCCACTTTCCTGACTGGAATTGGGTTGGAAAAGGTCGGTCCCGGGAGGTAGTTTGAGGAAAAAGCTAAGGTTAAAAACCTCCTCGGACGTCCCAAGTCCATATTCAAGCCCTAACGTCGAAGACGTGAAGAGTCCAACAGTCACGAAACACGCCTGGCACCGGGCGGTCGGACGCAGCTAGCTGATAATAGGCGCCGACCTGCGGCGGACGGAAGTGGAAGCGTGCTCTCGGGGAGGCGGGGGCAGAAGGGGCCGGGCCACGGCGCGCCTGCGCAGTCAGCAGGAGCAGCCGCGCTCATGCGCAGCGGGACTGTAGCGGGGTGACGCTCTGAGCGTGGGTTGAGACTCTCACGGATCCGGTTCCGCCCTCTCTCTCGCTGCCGACCCTTTGGGGCTAGTGCCCGAGATCCCTTTCCCAGGGTGCTCTGCGCTGTGAAGAAGCGGCTCCCGGGGACTGGGGGCATTTTGTGTTGGCTGGAGCCGGAGGAACAAGATGGCGGCATCGGCAGAGTGACAGGGGTCCTTTCGGGCCGGAGCCGGCGGCACTGGTGGCAGCGGTCTCGCCACCCTGAATTCACCGCGCCCCTTTTCCAGCCCGCGACGTCGCCGCGAAAGCGAGACAGCGGCAGCCGCCCAGAAACAACCAGTCCAGCCTAGTAACCGCGAGAATTGCCTCACAATCGGCGCCTGGGCTAAAAGAACCCTGACTGAGCTGCGGTGATCGGGATCCGCGTCGGCCGATTCTGGGCCCTGTAACGCCGGGGAAAGGCCTCCGTTGTCTGTTGCTGCCTCTCTCCTCCGCAGCGTTGCCCGGCGGATCATCCTCAGAGGCCTCCGTCGTCCCTTCTGAGGTGTCGGGGCTTTGCCCCAGTCTCTCAGGATGGCGAGCAGCAGCGGCTCCAAGGCCGAATTCATTGTCGGAGGGAAATACAAACTGGTACGGAAGATCGGGTCCGGCTCCTTCGGGGACATTTATCTGGCGATTAACATCACCAATGGCGAGGTAATCACCCGGGGTGGGGTTCTTGGCTGGCCCCCTCCCCACCTCCCTTCCCCGAGTGGCCGGCCACTTCCCCCGCTCGCTCGCTTGCTCGCACGCACGCCGCGGCGAGTCCGGACGGAGCCAGTTTTCCTGGCTTAGGAGCCTCCCCCACTCTTTTTCCCCTAAAAGGAAAAGAACCCGATAGAAAGATTGAGTGAACCACTAAGTTTTACAGCTTGTTGAAAAGGTGCCCTGATGGAACGTTCCACAACCCCCCCCCCCACACACACATACACACACATCACACAGCCCTCCGCAACCATCGTCAAAATCCTATTCCTGTGGTCCCCGTGTTGTTCTTTGTATCCTTCGTGTCTCCACAAGATTCTCGGTCCCCTCAGGGCCGTTTCCTTTGGCCTGGTGCCTCCGGAATCTGCAGCTTCGTGTGAAGCTTTGCCTCTTTTTCTCGCCTGCATCATTTTCCTGCCGATTTCGTCATTACCCCCCCGAGGAAGCCTTGGGGGCTATTTTGCCTCCTTCTGTAATTACCAAGACAGCTTCTCGTCCCATCCTTTCACTTGCTCGTAGTAGTGACTTAGAGCTCTGCTGTTGCCCCCTCCCCCGTCCTTACCCGAGTGACATTGAATCCGCGGGGATTGTTGATGCCACCATCCCGTCTTTCCCCCGCAGGAAGTGGCAGTGAAACTAGAATCGCAGAAGGCCAGGCATCCCCAGTTGCTGTACGAGAGCAAACTCTATAAGATTCTTCAAGGTGGGGTTGGCATCCCCCACATACGGTAAGAACCCCTAAGCACCGAGGCGACCCCTGAGGGAAGGTGGAACAGGGCCCTGGGCAGGCAGGGACACGCACCAGGGAATCCGGGTCCCTATACTGAGTGGCTTTCCGTGAACCGTGTCACCGCAGTCATTGAGTACATTTGTTTGCCAACTTAGTTTAACATTTCAGCTTGTTACGCCCTGCTGCATTTAGCATCCGTCATTCCTCCTCTTCCCGAGGCTTATTTGCAGCTAAGGCTGCAGGTCGTCTTTGATCCCTCCGCTGAAGGGCTGGCTGCTGCTCGCGTTTCAGCGGCACCTCTGATGTTCTTAGGTTGGCCAGTGAAATGTATTTGAAGGTGCTGAACTGACCGGACTCTGCCAGTTCTGGTTGCTATTGGAGCTGGCTTGGGAAATGGCTGCTCTTTTGTTGTGTTTTTGTTCCAACATGTCTTCCTCCTCCGCTTAGAAAATGGCGGAACGACATGACTCAACCCCATATTCCTGCCCCTTTCTCAGCTTGAGTTCACAAGTCATGCTTCTTTGATTCCTCCCTAGCAGCCTTGGGTGGATTAGCCCTTTGAAAAGCCCAAGAATTAAGCTCCAGGAGGCGGTGGGGTTCAAAGAGGGATATGGCATATTGACAGTATATTTGTGCTGTCTGCAGCAGATGCGACCCCAAATTGTTAAATTTTACAATGTAAAATCCTTTGTGTTCCTCTTAAAGATGTTAAGTATTGTTTTCTTCCCTGAGTGATGGTAATAGGTACATTTCAGTTTGTACTAAATTTTTCTGGGTAATGGCAAAGGCAGTTTGAGTAACACCAACTATGCTGAGATTTGCTCAAGTCATTTTTATTAAGAAAGCTCGAACACTAATCACTTAGCCACAGTTTCATAAATCATTTTGATGTTGTGAGTAATTTTGTCGGTAAAACCCATATCAGGGAAATGAGCAGTTTTGCAGTATGGCATACTGATGAAAGCAAATAGAAGCAATCAAAATAAATGGTGACCAGATAAAAATGGCATTGTAGTCTCTGGATTTACTTAATAAACAAATATAGTTTAGAGCCCAATCATTTTCCAGCAGCACCCAAAAATGCTTGCAAAAAGATCCAGGATAATTGAGAATTAAATGGAATGTTTATTCTTCAGTTTTTATTCTAATCTTGAACTCAGAGCAGGTTTATTTAATTCTGATTGGGGAACAACCTAAATAACTGTTGAAAGTTATTTCAATGCAAGTGGACATTCCAGTGGTAAAATAGAATGGTGAAATGTACTACTGCTTATCAACTAATAAGATATTTGGAAAGAAATCCCACATTTATGAGACAAAGGTTAATGTGAAATTTGAGACGATCCAGATTTGATATTTTAAAATTTTTATTATCCTTGAGGGGGGGAACCTGTGGGAAAATTAGACCCCCGGTGCCTATTGATGTACTTTCCCTGTCACTAGTTTTTCCTAGAATTTGATATAAATGAAATCATCCACTATGAGGTCACTTATGTCTGTCACCTTTCACTTAGCATAATGCTTTTGAAATTCACCCAATTTAGGAGTGTTTACAGATTTTACAAATCAGGCTGAAACAGATATCTTTTAAATAATTTGCAAAACGCATTAAACATATCGGCATTTTCATTGCTGAAGTTCAGGACATACCCTTTTATCTGCTAGCTTTTATTTAAGAACAACACTGAAACAGACCAGTGAGGACAATGAGTAATATACTGCTTTGGCACATGAATGAATGACGTTTGCTGAGGGCGTGTTATAAGATGGAGAGTACTGAGGGTTAATGGTAGTTAGAGTTGTGGGTGGAGTTGAATAAATTGATCTGGCTTTCAAATTAAGGTTCTTTGGGAGAGGAGAGGGGTTTCAGAATTTGGCTCTAAGGTGAAAGCTTGGTGAATTGGTTGGGGAATGCTTGAGAGTAGTGTGTGACTTCTGGAAGTAGTCTTTAAGCAGAATGTAGAAATGGGGGGGGGGCAACTATTTTAGTAATGGTAGGGCAGGTACATAGAGACAAAGGCGGTTCGTTTATTTTGAGGTGGAGCATGAAGAAAGGCTAAAATGTACAACATTCTGCTTGGGTGGCAGTATTGTCCCAACCTCCTAGTTTATTCCCCACTATTTCTATTTTACCCTTCCTAGTGTTCTTGATAAATATTGAATTAAGTTAACTGGGTAGTTTTAGCTAGATGAAGTAAGGTGTAGTGTGTTTTATTCACCATTTTGGAAATGTTGACACTAATTTTAAAAATTTACAGTTGCTGCATCTTATCACCATGTACACATTTCTTTTCCCAACCTCACTCCCCTTCTATTTTGTTGTTTATAGGATTTTCTTTAAGACTCTTTTAAAATATCCTAAAATATATTTGAAAACTATGTGACCTACAAAACTGGCCTGCCTAATGCAATCTTTCTTTGTAAATTTTAGGAATTTGTTGTTGAGAAATAGCATCCAGGGTCTTGTTAAGACACTCTATGTCCTTAAACCTTACAAATTGACATTTGGGCACTCAATTACTGCGTTTCTCGACACCCCTGCTTTTCATTGTGCCATTCTGAATTAGATTAGCATGTCCCCTGAGTAAATGGTTATGGTACACAGAAAGGAGTTATTAACCAGGCAGCTGTTGGAGTTTAAGCTCTGGATTTACCATGGGATATTGGTTGTGTTAAATTCTTAGTGTCTTAACCTCTATGGGCTTACCAAGCTCTCATCTATAAAGTAGAATTTTACAAAGTTTTTAATTTTGGAGGGAAAGGGTATATTGCTGGAAAGCTATTCATTTCCATTGGGCTTCACATACTGAGCTTTTGAGTAGAAGTTGGGTTCTTTATTTTAATAATAAAGTTGTTGACCTAGTTGACTGCAGACCTTTCATATCTGGAATTGTAATATTATCCAGAGGACAACAGCCAGAAAGAATTTAGTAACTGGAGTTTGATCGGAATTATGTCTGGAGCTTATATTTGAATGTTAATTCTAGCAACAAGAGACCATACAACCTAAAAACATTATCTGCTTGGGTAAACCGTTGATTGACTGTTTAGAAGGAATAAAACATTAGAATGTACTTTTTTCCAGAAACCATGGGGGGGGGGCAGGATTTGAAAATTGTTGTTACCTTGTTTTTTAAATGCCTTTTTGTCCCACTTTTTGAATGTGAAATGTTCTAAAAAGATACTTACATGATACACTTTAATCTTTTTGGCAGTAAACATGCCCTGTGAATAAAGTTGTAATGCTGTTGTCAGAACAGAAATGAGCAACAGTATTAGTGTCTTCATTGAAACATGTTACAGATGACTAGATGTATGAGATGTGATTTTAAGATTTGTTAATTTTTATTTGGAAAGTCAGAGGAGGAGTGAGAGTGAGGAAGATCTTCCATCCACTGATTCACTCCCCAAATGGCTGCAATGGCCAGAGCCAGGAGTTTCTTCCAGGTCTCCTGTGTAGGTGCAGGGTCCCAAGGCTTTGGGCCATCCTTGACTGCTTTCCCAGGCCAAAAGTAGGGAGCTGGGTGGGAAGTGGGGCCTCTGGAACACAAACCAGCACCCATATGGGATCCTGGTGCATGCAAGGCAAGAACTTTAGCCACTAGGCTACTAAGCCAGGCCCTGCATGGTTTTTTAAGGTGGATGAAACCTGAAAGATGTAGGCATATGTAGCTCAACTCTTCATCCATTTAGACTATTGGGAGTCGAAGGGGTTACCAGTGTTCATTCCAGTTCTCTTGAGAGCCATTATCACCTTTATGTTAGGGTCAGATGATGACTGATAATAATATTCCACACCTTTCCGTTTGAAGCTCAAGAACTATACTGCTTCACTGTATGACATCTGGCTTTATATAAAGAAGCTGAAAAGCTTTTAAATGTATGTAGCCTATTAATTCACATTTAACTCGATGCTTATAGTTGAGGATATTCTCCCTTTTGAATCCATAGATTGCAGGATGAGAACTTTGTTGATGATTAATTTGTGTCTTGAAGTAGATACTTCTGAACACATGCAAATTGTATGGTTTTCCTTCCTGTCTTTCTTTGTTTTTAGAGCAGGGTCATTTTCTTACAGAAGGTTTTTAGGCTGTAACAAAAAGTATCATTGGCTGGAATCTGTCCATGTAGGGGATCTTGCTGTCAAGAATTCTGTAAACAAACTAGGATTGGAGACAAATGTTATAAATGAAATCTTTAGCATCAGTTATTAACAGTTTTTCTGTGGTTTTCTGAAGATTTTTGTAGTTTTCAGTGAATTAATACCTTGTTAAAAAGGCTTTTGTTAATTTTTGTTCCCTGTACAGTCTCAGAGGGTTGTCAATTTAGTATGGCTAGTATTAACATAACATGGACTGTTGATTTCTCAGGAATTTTTAAAAACTGAGGTGAAATTTACATGTCATAAAACACACAGATGTATGCTTGGATCTGTATTGACAAATAATCCATACTTCCATGTGTTGTGTAATATACTTGAATTTTTAAAGATTTTTATGTTTATTGGAGAGCCAGATGGGGGGAGGGAGAGAATCTTTTTTTTTCCTGCTAATTCTCTCCCCAGACACAATGATCAGGGCTGGGTCAAGCTGAAGCCAGAAGCCAGCCAGCAGCTTGTTCTGTGTGGTTGGCAGGGGTCCAGATACTTGAATAATCTTCCACTATTCCAGGTACATTAGCAGGGAGCTGGATCAGAAATGGAGCAGTTAGAATTAAAACTATCACCATTACGGCATTTGAGTAAAGGTGGCAGCTTAATTTGCTGTATCAGAGTTCTAGTATCCTAGTTTTTTTAATACACCCACACAACTAATTACTTCTAAGCTACATTTTGTGGCAACCAAACTTTTCTTTCAGATTAGTGTTGACTTGCTTATATGCAGAGTAGTAATTTAGTCTCTTACCATTTAATAGACTACAGGATTTATCTGACAAAATAATTAATTGGCTGTGGGGGGAATATTCTGGTTATTGATATTTCTGCCCTGTTGTTTAAAC